GGCAGAGCGCCGACAACATGTCGGATACCAAGGTAAAAGTTGCAGTCCGGGTCCGGCCCATGAACCGACGAGGTGAGCTGCTTTCCGCTCGTTTTTATTTCTGGAGGGGCTGAGGGCGGGGGCAACTTTGGCAACTGCAAGGGCGCGGGGCCGTGAGGCTGGGCGCTGGCTGGAGCGGTGCAAGGGGAGCCGGGGCCGGAGCCGGGAGGAGGCAGCCCCCGCGCTCGCTCGGAGACGGGGCCGCCGGGCTGCCCGGCTCCCATCGCCCGGCTCCTGCTCCAGCTCCCGGGGGAGAGCCGAGCGCTGCGCGCCCAGGCGCCTGGAGGGACCGATGCTCGCACTTTGCAAACGTTGGTTTTTCCCTTTTGCTTTTAGAACTGGAACTGAACACCAAGTGCGTGGTAGAAATGGAAGGGAATCAAACGGTCCTGCACCCGCCTCCTTCCAACACCAAACAGGGAGAAAGGTAAACGCGGGTGCAGAGAGGGAGGGGAGAAGGTCCTACAAGTTGGAGCCCGGAAAATAGTAATGCTCATTCCTATTGTTAGGAGGGCGGCTTCAAGTTTGTCGCTCGCTCCTGTGAGAAGCTGTTGCAAGTCCAAGTTCTTCTCCTCCCTCTGTCTTCTCCCCCATCCCCCCTTACTGCCCTCCCATCAAGAGCGACATCTGGCTGGGCAACCCGGGGCCAGAACCAGAGTCTAGATTGTGTCCATCAGCTGTGCTGTTTATGTGCCTCAGCATATGCAGAATCGGGGGCTCCGTGGGACCACAGAAATGATTAGTCCAGAGGTCACATTTTACAGATAAGAAAACTGAGGCTAAGAAGCGAGCAAGTTGCAGGCCTAAGTCCTTATTGGTTCAGGGACCCGGTGTCCCTCATTCTTCCCGCCCCTGCACTGTTTGCTTCCTTCAGGAGAATTGCTCAAAGACTTCATCTATAAAATGAGAGGGAAAAATAAGCAAACAGGCTTGTACGTTGCAGGCTCAGGCCTGGACCATTGAAAACCTATTTTTTTTTTTTTTTTAGTTGGTGCTGCCTTGAGATAATGCCTAAATGTAATGCGGGAATTTTGATTTTCAAGGAAACAAAAGTGGTGCCATGAACTATGTAGAGTCGGAGGGAAGGATGTTTAAAAGAAAGCTGCGCTTACTTGATGGCAACATATTTGCATTTGAAAAGTGTAACTGTTGGATCCTTATTAATTCTGCTCTGTTCCATGCATCAGTATGGGAAAATGCCCTAAAATAATTTGAATATTTGGAATTTTTTCTGGTAAGCCCTTAAGAAGAACGCTTGCAATTCCTTCAATATAGTAGAGCAATAGTGTGCAAAAGTATAAAAAGAATAAAAGGGAGTTTTTTTCCTCAATTAATCCATCTAGGAAGTGAGAAACATCATGAATGTTTTTAAAACTCACCTGTTGATTAATGTGCCAGGTTAGTGAATTTTGCTCTTAAGAGATTTTCACTAGAAGAAATTCAAGTAGAGTTTGCTACTTTATTGCTAAAGGAAGTATTTGTAACTGACTCAAAGCATGTGGTGGGTGGGCACAGTTTTACAAATGTGGTGAAAAAAACTTGAGGGAGATAAATGTCCTTGACAAGGGAGTTTTCTTTTTTTCCGTTGGTGCCATGCCTACAAATCTGTATCTAGTTTACAAAAATGTTACCACTTATAATTATCTTATGGTATATTAAATAGCTAAATTGTATTGAAAATGTGCTAGACAATTCTTAGGAAAAGATGTATTCTTGGACAGTGTTTTAAAGTACAATTATACTGTTATTTTGAGGTACATTTCTAGAACTATGGCTGTATTTGATAGTAACAATTAACTAATTGTGTAAATAAAAGTATTTACAAATTAGATACTTCACCAAAGTGTGCCCCCCAAACCAGAAATTATTGTTTCTGAAAAAAGTTTTCTGTGTCTAGGAAATAGGTAGAATGATTTAACACCTGTTGTTTGGCTGTTGCCTCTGAGGGGGTCCTGTCCTTGCTAGTTGGACACTTGCTCCTTGTCATTCTTAACCATGAATGCTACTGGCGGTTGCTGTTTAATGAAGCTTTGCCATTTGTGGAAAGAAGCAGGTTTGATTTTGTGGAGTTTGAATAGCACTTCTAACTGTGGACAGTTGTTTAGAAATGATTAGAAATAGTCACTTAATCCTTTTTAGGGCTTCCACTGTCGTTATTAATCTTGAGCTAGTAAGTAAAGACACGCGAACTGATTTTTCAGATTTATCCACCTGCCTGGTTGCTGGAATAGTCACTTACCGGGAGTGATAAGAATGGCACTGAAATGTGGGTCTTCTCTTGTCTTGTCCTAACCCTTGTATTTCTTGGAATTTTTCTTATGCCCCAGCCATGGACAAACCAAGTGGAAACAACACAACAGTCCTGTGTGTAGATTAGGATTACTGTCTTTGCAAGAATGAAGACATGAAATGCCTTTGAATTTTCTTGATGCCTTTGGTTTCATATTTCTCCACTGGTGATTCCTTTAAAGCAAGTGTGTTTAAAAATAGAAACAATTGCTCCCTTGGGCTCCTGGTTGATTAATTGTGGCAGTGCTTCATAATATACTTGCAGTTTATTTCTGCTATTTGTTTTGTGATGCAGGAAGGGCAGAGAGTCGTAGATGAGCAGAATACTGAGGATATTATCTTTTTTCCTTACTTAGAAATAAAAATTTGAAGTGTGGCCAAAATCCAAATCCACTGCCATGACCACCCTGCAGAGCAGAGTAGAACTCCACTATGATTTCCAAGACTGTAAATATCTATGGAAATAGTCTGTCTCCTGTTTTTCCCACCAGAGTAGATGATGGATTCAAACTGCCAACCTTCTTGTTTAGCAGTGCTATACTTTACCCACAGTGCCTCCAGTGTTCCTTTGACATATAAAACTCATTGCCTTCCGGTGGGAACTGACTCATAACTGACCCTTCAGCAGGTTTTTAGGGGTAACAAACAACATAGGAGAAGATTATCCGTCTTTCTTTTGCGAAACCATTTGTGGGTGCAAACCTCCAGAGAGGTGTGGATTTTTGTGTTAGTAGCACAAGCCCCTCACTGCACTACCACAGCTCCCATTGACATCTGAGACGTCCTTAATATAGAGTTTGGTTGAGTGTTATTATTTTCCTAAAACAGCAAGAAATTACTTCTGTTTTAACCAGAGGTAGAAGTTCAAAGTTACTGGGTGAAAGTTCTCAGGCTTATCGGTAAATGCAAGCAGAGTGTATTGATTTTCAGGAAGAGAAACAGACTTAGCTTTCAAGAATTTTCCCCTTTTGGGAACTGAAAACCAAAGAACCTGGTGAGGACTAATAGATTATAGGGATTCTGAGTTTAAAAATGTTTTGGATTTGAAACTCTAGGTTTACAATATACCACATAGGTCCAGGTTGGTGGCTGCATGAAGAAATAGACATGTGAAGACATGATATTGACTTGGGGGATTATAGGGGGGATAGGAAAGGAGTGAATAGACAATGAGCACTGCATTGGAATAAATGAGGGAAAGAACTGTTTAAAAGGAATATAAGGCATTATGTGTATGACAACAATCTGGAATAAGAGGTTCCTTGTAAAGTGGACTGGGAAAAGGAGAATAAAGGGGGAGGGAGGAAATGTAAATTAATATTTTTTTTAAAAAATAGACATATTTTTCTTAAATGCATTGTTATTTATGTGGAAGATGTTTATATTCAGTTTATGGCATGATTTCACAGAGGATACAGAGATACAGACCTAGTGTTCTTGCCTTCCACGGGTGTGAAAAGAGACAGGGATAAAATTTTTAAAGCAATATGGTAAATTGTATGGGAGTATAACTTGTCATTGCCCATACCATATTGTTGGGAGATATCCAGTTTCCTTTTCTGTCACCTGTTAAGGGGGTGAGCTCTGCAGCACAGGTACTGAGTTCTACTTGTTTTGTGTCTGGCTCTGCTTGCTTGATGCCTGGCACATAGCAGGTGCTCTGCGAATGTCTGAGTTCACTGTACTGAGTTCCAAGTACAATCAGTGGGAGTGCTAAGGGGAGATGTAGGACAGACCTAGATCCTGGCAGCCTGCTGAGACAGATGGCATCTGTGTTGGTGTTACAGGTGCTCAGAATGTAGATTCACTTTTTGCAGGAGCTGGAGATAGTCCTTTGTCAAATCAAGTGAAAGTATACCTGCTATAAATATAGCCTGTTGATTATGTGTGTAGATGGTTATGTGTGGAGAGGCTCCATGGAGTGTAGAGTGGGATGTAGAAGTAAGAGTGGATGTGTTCAGGTGGGAAAATCAAATGACAGCTCTTGAAGAGATAAGAGAGGAGAAAGCTGCTTCTCCCACCTCCTGTGACTCCTACTATCCACATCCCTTACTCCATACTCATGTGTGAGTACATACACACACACACACGTACATAAATAATTCATTATTTATAGAAGTATTAACTTGTATTCTGATAACTTTCAAGTGTTATTGTTGTCATCATCTCTTGTTGAGTCACTTTCAACTCATAGAGACCCTGTGTACAAATGTTCTGAACCCTTTATCCTGTGCCAATCTTTATTGTCTCTGACACACCTACCCCCATTACCCCAGTCACTGAATGAATCCATCTCATTGAGGGTCTTCCTCTCCTGCGCTGCCCCTCCACCCTCCCAAGCATGACATCCCTCTCCAAGGACGGGTCCCTCCTTGCAACATGTCCAAAGTATGTCACATGAAGCCTCAGAATCCTTGCCTCCAAGGAGCAGCCTGGTTTCACCCTCTCTAGGAAGAACCTGTTTGGTCTCCTAGCTGTCCACGCTATGTGCAGTACTCTTCTCTCCAGCACCATAGCTTTCCATATGAACATAAATAAGAATGCATTCATTCATGCTTTTTGACATCCAGTTTGAAATGTGCTGGTGATTTTTAAAATATGAATTGATGAAACATTTCTCTCCCCTCTGAGCCTGAGATGGGCCCACTCCTTCCTTTTGATAGTATTTCTCTTATTTAATAAACTCTCCTCTGTCTTAAACTTCCCCAGCCAAAAAATTACATATGAATTGATGAATCACATACCTATAAGTACTAGAAAGTGAAATTTTATCATAAAAAATGTCCTGGGGACTTGTTTTCTGCAGAAATTTTTGTTATTGATTATTATATGAAAGTGAATTACATGATAAAACATCTAAAACCAAGTATATCTCTAACTTAGAAAATACCAGGCTAGCTTCAGACTCTTAAGAAAAAGAGCAAAAAAAAAAAAAAGAAAAAAAAAGAAAAAGAGCATCAGAGCTTTTAACTTTCTGTTTTTTTTCCATGCTGTAAGTACATAGTGTGCCTTGCAAAATGTGAGGGAAGGTCAGCTACCTGTTGGCCAAATACAAACATATTTCCTAGTTTGTGTATTATATGTTTCAAATTTTTATTTGCAAGCTTCCCAGTCACTGCAAAGGCTTCAGAAGTGATT